ATGAGTGTGAAGATGAACCGTGCAGTCACGGCTGCTTCAACACCTACGGCTCCTTCATGTGCAACTGTGACGAGGGATTTGAGTTGGCGGCCGACGGGACTTCATGCATTGGTGAGACGAGCCGGTTGTGGGTTTTTGTCTTTTAATGGTGTCTTATCAATATTTAATTTAGTATTTTAACAGGGACACACACTTCTGCATTCAAATTGACATTTCATGACTGTCTTCAGAGCATTTTCTATGTGTGGGGCGTTAAAGTTTGACATACCATTGAGTAAGACTGATCTGTTCTGTACAAATTCACATTTTCCCCACATATATATAACTATTACTTAACCTTATATATAGTAACCTGTCAAAATGTAATATAAAGAAATAAAAATGTGCATTTGAAATCAAAATACACTTATCTAGACATAGTTAGTGTTATACATTATAACACTGTCTATCCATATATTTATATTCATAGCCTGGAGAGGCCACCAGAGTGTAAAAGGCAGAAATAAAGTGTAGACAGACAAATACATTCACACCTAAATCCTCTTTGAATCTGCATGAATATTGACTGTGGGCCCCCCACAATCTTTTTCTGATGAGTATTAATCCTGCTTCTTTATCCCCCGTAGACTTGGATGAGTGCAGCTTCACTGAGTTTCTGTGTCAGCACAGATGTGTGAACACCCCCGGTTCTTTCTCCTGCATCTGTCCGCCTGGATATTATGTATACGAGGACGGCAGGAGTTGTGAAGGTAAAGTTCAGGACAGAAGACAATGATACGGTCACTGCTTTAAAGTGACTGCACTGAATAAATATTAAATTTTAATGTCTGTTTCACCTCAGTTTAGTTGCAGCGTCACAGAGAGCAAATATCTGGGCAGCTATAAACATTACTCGTTGAATTCCCTTGTTGTGTATACTAATTCTTTTTTATTAGGAATGTTTTGAATATAATGTAATCCTGTGATATATTTTCATTATTTGTGTTTTTTATTTTGTATAAATGGCACATCTGTACTTTGCTACATGTTTATTGATCCGTTTTAACATCAACTAATTAAACAAGTGTCACTTTATTTAGTATTATTATGTATTCTCTTTGTTTTTTGTACCATTGTACCACCAGGTAGTCTTATTGTATTGTTGATGCTTTCTGAATGTTGTTTCTCTGATGATGATGATAATGATGATGATGATGATGATGATGATGATGATGATGATGTTTTAACTGACTCTGATTGTTGTGTGTTTGATTTTGAAGATTTCAATGAATGTGACACTGGTAACAACACCTGTACAACAGCACAAGTATGTTTCAATTTCCAGGGAGGCTATACATGCCTGGATCCTTTACAGTGTCACTCTCCTTACATCGAAGTTAGTGACAAGTAAGTATTAAAGCTCCATTTTCATCCTTTGAACGCATCTTCATCTGTGTGCCATTACATTTATGTTCCATACCTTTATTTATTTACTTCATGTGTTATATGTAACTCCTTCTGTGTCTCCTCCTCTGCAGTCAGTGTATGTGTTCAGCTGAAAACCCTGCCTGCAGGGACAAACCCTTCACTATTCTGTACCGACACATGGACTTGTCGTCGGGGCGCAGTGTGCCTGCAGACATCTTCCAGATGCAGGCCACCACGCGTTACCCCGGCGCCTTCTACATCTTCCAGATAAAGTCGGGCAATGAAGGACGAGAGTTTTACATGCGAGTGAGTAATGAGACACTTCACTTACCTGTAGATATGAAGGCGAAGGAACAAGATGCAGCGATAAAACCTTATGCTGAAATGTCACAAGCAGATGTCAACGCCTCAGAGGAATAAAATAAATTGGTTTTCCTTTTTTTTGTGCGATGGATTTTTAAGAAAATACATACGGGAGGAAGCAATGGGTTTTATGTTGCTAAAAGCAGCAAGCTACTCGAGTTTCTTAGCAATAAAGAGAGCAAGAACTGTGTAGTAAGTAAGTTAACAGACAAAGAGAGCAGCGCACCTACAGAAACTCTGTGCAGAACTGAGCAGGAAGGATAACTGCACTACTCTTTGAGTGTTAAGCAATATGTACAGAGCACAGAAACACCACAGCTGTGAGCGTTTAGATCCCAAAGATCTTGCCAAAATCATTTTTTTAAAAACCAAATGTCTTTGGTTGGTCTTATGTGATCATTGTGCATATTATTATCAGAATCACTTCATGTGTATAATTTCTATTCACAAACATCAGACTGAATATCACTCATAGTATCACACTCTTGATCTTTTCATAGAAACAAAATGATTTTTGTTATATACAAAATTAGTCATCAAGGAGAAACTATGCACTCCTGTGTAATTTAGCAATTTAAAGACACAATCTCTTGTTTTAATAAAGTCTGAAAATATAAAAGATTCTGTGGACAGATTTTGTCTGATTTGGGGACCCAATAAAGAAAGTTAAGGGCTGTAATAATTACCATGTTTTGGGGCTTCTATGCCAGATTTTAAAAGTTATAAAATATAAAATATATTAGTTTTACTTACTTGAGCTAAATCACTTTCTTATAGGTGTGATTCTGAACAGATTCTGAATACAAACATGTGTGGAAACATGAATTATTCAGCTCTAATATCATTTGTTTACATACCAACAGCCCTTTTCCAGAAAAGATGTTTTAACATGTCGTAATAAAATGAATGATGGTTACATTACTGAGACATCTGAACAGAGCAGAACTGTTATTAATAACACTTCCTACTATGAAAAGTCAAAATGTCTGCTGTGAAAATGGCCTATATACCAAGTTAACGCAAGTATAAATAGGGCACAATGCCTGTAGAGGCAGTAAATGAAGCACCTGACCGCTCATGCAGTGTGCAGCCAGTAGATGGCGCAATAAGTGTGTATAATAGTTGGGAAGGTGGTTTTTGTTTCTCAAATGAGTAAAATACAAACTTAGAAGAGACTTTTTAGGAGGATTTCAAACTATAAAGATAATCTGTAACATGATTGAAATGACCACATGAGGTTTTACAATATCTTATTGAGTTGCCTTCTGTTGTTTAAACAAGCCCTGCAGGTCTGACCTCATGCACTATGGAAAACACATTAACTTTCCTTGACTTTGTGCTTGTGTTTGAAGTCGTGAATGATACAACAAAAGCTCTGTGACCTGCATTTCCTCCGTCATGTGCAGATGTCACATTCACCCGCTTCCCTGCACTTCATTCCTAACATTCCTCCCCTGTCTTCTTTATCTACCCAGCAAACCAGCAATGTGAGCGCCACACTCGTCTTGTCCCGGCCCATCAAGGGACCCAGGGAGGTGGTGCTGGACTTGGAGATGGTCACGGTCAACAACGTCATCAACTTCAGAGGCAGCTCCATCATACGTCTGACGGTATTTGTCTCAGAGCACCCGTTCTGAGTGTCCCAAATGAACTTCATCACCCCCCTAAGAATCAAGCTGCACTCATCTGCAGCTGATGCAATGGTTTGTTTGAGACAGCTTCTTTTTTTTTTTTTAACATTATGTCATCCTCAGTAAAGACACGTCCGATAAAGACTCAGCAAAGATCAGCTGATGGGAAAGCATCCCTATGCTGGAATCCCCACCCTGGTTTAATGGACACTGAGCTTTTATGGCTGCGATATGGACTTTCGATACAGAGGGATATTTATGGTGTACAATTTCTGACATCCTGTATTTAGAAAATGACCTGAAAATGATGGAAAGTACCCCCACCGAGTACCAGTGTATACACAATACAGTTTTCCCCCCCAGTTGTCTGTGAATTTTCATCCCTTCAGATAAGCTGTGAAAGTGACTTTTTATATGCCTGAATTCAAGAGCTGTCATTACATCACGAGTGCCATCAGATCATTGTCGTGTTTTTTTATGAGACAGGAGGAGAGTCGGTTATCAGAGCAGAAGTGTAATTGTGCATTTGCAAAGGCAATATTTGAAATGATGTAACAACCAGTCATTAACTGAATTATTGATCACAGTTTATTTTAGTCCAATAAATGTCTTCACCACACAACTGTCCCTGGCATGAGCAGGCTCCTCAACTCCTGAAACTACATCTTATTTTGGGATTATATGAATGTAATATTTTGAGGGGGTCCTATAACAAATGGTGGAATTTTTAATAACAAATGTTGGGGACACACATTTGGGGCATTTGGGAGACTGAGGGATTATCAAAAATGGCTGAATCTGTGGGATTTGGACCATACCAAATGACAATTTGGGATTTGGGCTCACAGTCATAATTTTTAACACATTTTGTAACTTTAATTTGGGAGGTTTGTGCACACAATATCAATTGTTATTATTATAAGGGGATTTGGGTACTGTAACAACTTTGCAGATTTTATTATATTCTAAGCAGTTAATTTTTAGCACTATACCAAACTGTGGCACTAGGGGGGCACTGTAATAACATATGGATCAATTAACACATATTTGGACAAATGGGACTATAATAGATGACAATCTTTGGGGGCAATACAGCAAATTTGGAGCAACTGGGTGCACAATACCAACTGAGGATTATAACAGACTACACTAAATTAAACAGATTTTAGAGTCAAGAGTTGAAAATGTGCAACAACTGTAAACTCTTTGTATTGGAACTATGTTGATTTGCATTGTCCCTATCACATAAAATACATTTAGATTCAGTAGAAAGTAGAAAAAAGAAAACAATAAAAAACAATGAAGGACGCTGTTGGTTGGAGCTGTCAGTGAGTCCCGTAATTAATTAATTAAATAAATAAAGGCAGTCAGTTCCTGTATGGTGGATTATTATTTGGACAGTGGTGAGATATCTGCTGAGGAGGAAAAACTAAAATGACAGCGAGCACACAGAGATGATTAGTGGGGAAAAACCAAAACATCCAAACAGAAAGTGGTTCTCTGTTCGGGGAAGGAAGCGCAAATACGCACAGAGTCAGTCCGGGAATTAGAGAGTCAGATAGGGGGAGGAGGGGAAGGAGGGTGAGGGAGAGTGAGAGAGAGAGAGAGAGAGGGAGAGAGAGAGAGAGAGACCTGTAACTAAAGTAGACACCATAAACCTGAGCTTACTGGCATTTCCCTCCTCCGGCCCATGAGGGTGAACTGCACCGCTGGATGCGCAAAGTTTATCCTCTTTCACTGAAAACATCTCATGGGTAAGTTTCCATGTTTGCTGGTTTTTGTAATTCCAGGTAATAGTTGATTAATTGCTGTTTAATGTGTATGTAGCAAGGTGACACAGACGCAGATTCCTCCATACGGCCGCAGCACAGCGCGCTGTTTGTGGAGCAGTTGGTTCCGGGCTGATGAAATGATTTATGCTCTTCACTTTGTGATTGCAGATGAGTGTTAATGGATCCTCCAGGAGGTCCATAAACTCACTGAAAGTGTACTCATTTCTTCTTTTTGTCATAATTTAGCAGCCATGAGAGTGAAATTAGGAATTTGAGAGCACTGTGACAAAATTTGGAGGTTACAGCTATATTATATATCATATTACATTACATTATGTTATATTATATATTATAAACTAATTGCAGTAATCTGCAGGGAAATAATTCGGGGATTATAATTTTGGGGTCATTGAGTTGGACGCATTTGAGAATTACATCAAATCACAAACTTTGGAATTTATCGGAACAATAATACAGATTATATGTTTTTGCAAAGCAAATTGTGCCAGTGTCGATGCATTATATCATATTTTTGGATAACACATCTTGGGGCTCTTTACCAAATTTGGGGTTTATTCTCTCGCTTTGGGGTTGGGGCATAAACGGAACATATGTATCTATATCTATATCTATATCTATCAATCTATTTATCTATCTATATATAATTGTGGGATTATATCAACAAATCTGGGGGTATTGTACCAGATTTGGAGGATTTCAGTAAACCTGACTTTTGGACCATAACAATAAACTCATTTTTAGGGCACTGCACCAAATTTGGGGCATATGTGCGCACTATAACATATTTTGGGAGCACTCTACCATTACGAAGAGTGCTGTAACAAATTTTGGGGTTGTATCAAATAAAAAAATTGGGGGTGCTCCACCACCTTTATCGGATTTAAGTGCATAATAACAACTTTCATTATTATAGCAACAATTATTTTAAATTTTGGAAAAGTACAGCAAATTCTAGCAAATTCTATCAAATTACGAATTTTAGCAATGATGAGGTGCTTCACCTAATCCTGGGGATCTTAGTGAACTCAAATTTTGAGGTTTTTGGGGTGCCATAACAAACGCTGTTTTTTGTGGAACTAAATAAAAGTTTTGGATCACAACATGGTATTTGGGCACTATACCAAAGTTTGGGATTGATAGGGCTGCACTATAACAAAAATTGCCAAGTTTGGGGGCGCTATGCCAGATTTTGGTGATTTGAGGACACTATAACAAAGTTTGTGATTATAAAAAAATAATTAATTTATAAATTTATGCAAAAACTGTTTTTTCTATTTTATTTTGGTATTTGGAGTGTTATCACCTTCTGATTAGGTCCCCAGAAAGGCTTGTTCCAGGCCTGGTGGTATCACTGTTTACTGTGTAAACTATAACTTCCACTTAGTCTCTCAACATTGAAATATTTCCAGTTGCAGCCATGGAGTGCCTCAAAGACTGCTGCAAGACGTTCATGAAGAAGAAGGGGAAGGAGCAGGAGACCCAAGGTAAACGTGACGTTCTTGCACAGCTGCGTATCAGACAGCTTTGACAGAGTGTGTTGTTTCTGATTGAGTGATTTCCTCTGCTTTCAAGTGATCACACTGAAGATGCCTCCGAACAAGGCAGCAGCATTAGGACAGGAGCTAGATGAAGGGAGAAGGGTAGTCGCAGAAGATTACCTACTGTCCAAGCTGCCTCCGGATGGCAGAGAGGTGCCGTTTGTCCTGCCGACCTTCAAGGCCTCTTACATCCAACCCAGAGGCTCCCGCTACCCCAATTTACAGCCTGGGCTTCAGAGTATGTACCTAATGAAGAATGACATCAGCTGGCTGTTCTCCCTTTGTTTGCACTGGAAGATGCTCAGTATCTTCTACATCTTGAGGGACTGAAGTAATTTACACTGTCACATGCAAATGAACTGCAACAATGTACAAATCTGCCATTAGTGTTGATTTAAAGGTTGGGTTGGTAAATAATGCCAGTCCCATCATCACAGTGTCTCTAACCACACTGAATACACAACATGTAATTGATATCTGAACTTTTACTTTCTTTATTGCGTCATACTGTACATCTTATATCTGTAGCATCTAGCGGAGAAGTTGCAGATTGAGAGCATTTCAATACAGCTCAGCCTTCCGCGCGTGTAAGGAGAAACTACGGTGGCCAAACCCGTAAAAGATGCAAAAGGCCTTATGTGGTGCCAGTGTTTGGTTTGTCCGTTTTGGGCTACTGTAAAAACATGGCCTACGTGGAAGAGGACTCGCTCCCTCTGTAGATAAAAACGTCTCATTCTAAGGTAACAAACACAACGATTCTTATTTCTTGTGCTTATATACTAATGAACACATACCTATGGATATTATATTCCATTTCTGCTATTAGATCCTCCTAAATGTTACACACTGGAACTTTCAAAGACAACTCTCTGAAAACAAAATGTCTTGTGTATTATTGCAGACACTGTTCAGTGTACAGTAGGTTTGAGCTGGCTAACATCTGGTTCTCTAACAGCAGAACAAAGCTGGCACTGTAGTATTTGCAAACAGTTGACCTGAATTTATGCAGATGTCTGTTAGTTAGACGAGACAAAGGTTTGATTGTGCTTGGGCGATATATTTTGACTACAACAGCGTCTCCATCAGGTCATTGTACAGTTTAAGAATTTTGGCTTTTTTACAGCTTGAAGTTATGACACACTTTACAATAGGTCAGTCAGCCCAGAGATACAGTTTAACTAGGGTGGAATAACACGTGTAATCTCACCTCAATATAGGGTTAGGTCGACTGACACATATTACTCCACCCTAACAAGCTCAACCCTCACTGTGGACTCAGAGCCAATTGCATTATGTGTCTAAGTTTCATTAAAATCAGCTCAGAGGTTACCGAGGTACGGCCGGATATTTGATTACACAGGAGACAAGTACCAGGATATCCTGGTTCTTAATGAGTAGCTGTGGTCCTTTAGTTTACTGACTGAAAAGAATAATTTGGTCAAATGGACGTAAGCTGACCTCCAACCCTGCTTTCTGTCTGCAGGTTCAGCCCGGTGCACGTATGCAGAGAGGAAAGCAGAGCTGCTGGGCTCCAGTCACTTCACCTACAGCCCCGAGTCCAGCTTCCATCAGGGTCAGATGGCGGAGTTCATGTCACCCGGCTCGACGCGCCGCAACACACTGAAAAACAAATACGGCGGTCCCCAAAGTCCAGGTAGCAGATGCAGAAGTACACCACATCAAAGATCTGTGACTGTATGCCAGCCAGAAATCAATCATTTGTACATATATATCTCACAATGTTTGAATTTCTTACTTTTGTATATGTTTGAGGTGCTAAAAAAGAAATCAGAAGTTTGTGTTACAGCCAAACACAGGGTGCATATTCATTATTATGTTACACCTATTCAACAGTTTGTCCCAATTTTTCAGTTTGTCTGCAGTAGTAGAGAGATAAGCGTTGTAAATAAAGGGATAAGAAATAATCTATGTATCTGTCTGATGTTTTGGCTCTAGGTTTGACTCTGAAGCCGGTCGTCGAGCAGCGATTGAGCAGCTCCATGTTTGATCTGTCCAGTTCTCCAAATCACATGCAGGTGAGATCGCTCTCTATCTAATCTGTATTCACACAGCATTTCTCACCCTGTGTCAACCCAGACTAAATATAGTTTCATAGTTTCCACTGTCCTCAGCAGCATAGTGGAACATTGCAAAGTCTCACAGGCTGGTATTTTAATTTAAGGGGGTAAAGTGATGTGGTCATTATATCCTGAAGAGTTTATTATAAGGGAGCAGGTGAGCTGCTGGATGGGTGCAGCTTATCTACACTGTTAAGCTTAACTGTGTTTAAAAGTCTTGAAAAGATACTTGCCATTCAGATATCATGTTAAACAGCTTAGCTGAGCTTGGCATAGAGACTGGAAACAGGGGGAACCTCCTAGCCTGGCTCTGTCCAAATGTAACAAAATATGAATACTAGCATTTCTAAAGCTAACTATTAAAACATATTATATCTCATTTGTTAACAACAAAGTGTAGAAATGACATGTTGTGGTTTTACCATGGGTTATATATCTGACTATTTCCTGGAGTCTCCACTAATACTCCGGCACTTAATTCTTCATAAAAACACGATTTGTCATTTTGACGCCTTCTTTGTTTTTTGTATGTCTTGAACAAATGAGATATTATTTGTTCATTTGTGAGCCTTGGAGGCGGATTTTGTTACCTTTGGACAGAGCCAGGCTAGCTGTTTTCCCCCTGTTTCCAGTCTTTATGCCAAGCTAAGATAACCAGCTGCTGGCTGAAGCCCAGTATTGAACAGAGATTTATGAGAGTTGTATTGGTAGTTTCAACTAACACTAAGAAAATTAAAACATTTATTTATCAAAATGTCCAACTATAAGTATAACTAAATAACTTAATTAAAAGTTTTAATTCAATTGATTTTGACAGCTGATCAGTGGTGAAGGAAAACATTTATATAAAGCCTTTATATGCCTTTTTACACTCATTGTAATTATATATAACTTTAATAAACAGGAGAGGTGCCTCACTGAGATCTGTGTCTTGGCCATTTAACTGTATTCAGTCCAATTTGGGACTCTGTATAACTTCTTTACATCCTTAAAATAACAAAAAAGTCAAAACACCCTCAGAGATCCTCTATTTATAATAGAAAGTCGATGATGGAGATAATCTAGTAAATCCTTTTGAAGTGGATCTAAAAGGTTTTATGGATCTTAATTTGAAAGTGATGATAAAGTTCAGCACTTACTCCTCCAGTTTGGCGGCCGTCCCTGAATGTATTTTTGTTTGCTACGTATGATTCAGCTGTAGATTGTCTGCGACTAAGTGGTATTTAATCACTAATACAATATGGTGGAAAACAATGAGCAAGTTGGGGCGTATTTCTTTGTTCTGTAAAAGATGTGTTATAGTATACCTGTCAACTGCTCTTATTACTTAACACGAATAGCTGTGTTACAAACAGTCGGGTTAATGTCTCGCCCAAAACCTCAATAAACATTACAGCATCACATAAATGACAGAGCACTATTTCCAACACGGATACATTTACATTCACTTTCTGTTGATGTGTCTATTAGCCACAGCAACATGCAGTGGTTTTTTAAATTGCGTTTCAGTTAGTTCAAATGTTTAGCCTGGCAACGCTATGAGCAAACAGTAGTAAGTAATAAAAGTAAGGCGCACCTTGGCAATATATCTAATAGCAGTAAACCAGAGTTTCCCGAATGAAGATGTGAAATGAAAAGTGCAAGTAAAGCAATAAGAACCAGTGAGAGGTGATGTTTTTAAAGTTAAAGAAGAGGATGTGAAGTGATTTTCATTGTCATTCCTGCAAAGCTGAAAGCTACGTTCGTCAGTATCTCAACAACTGTCCCCAGATGGGAAAGCCTAATGACCTTAATGGAGGTTAATGTTGGTGGTTTTGAGTGAAATGTCTCAGCAACTATTTGATGGACTGACATGAAATTCAGGTTCAAGCATTCATGGTCCTCAGAGGATGAACTGTAATGTCTTTGATCCCCTGACTGATCATATAGCACTGATCATTTGTCCAGTATTTTGGTTAATGACTACATACCTGCAAAACTAATGACGCTCTCATCAGCCTCAGCTGTACTTTGAGTTTAATGGGAATTGTTTAAGATACTGAACATGGTAAACATTATACCTGCACCTATGTACAGCCTCATAAAAGTGGCTGCTGACTCTTGTTAAATGTTAAAGTTTATAGAATAATGAACCTTTCGTGCTCTCCTGACTATCTGTATGTGTTTTGGATTCGCCTGCAGCGCTTCGACTCCGTCTCCAGCGTCCTCAGCAGCACATCCTCCATGATAGGCTCCATCGAAAGCAGCCTGGGTAACTTAAACACAGATTTGTCTCTATCTACAAGCATTTTCCCTTTTAAATTTCATGTTTGGGTGGAGCTCTGTCTACCACCGTCCTCTTCTGGTGAAGAAAAAAAAAGAAAAAGAAAACAAAAAGACCCAAGGGGTCATGACTTCAGTCTGATTACGATCACTCTGCATTGTGCAATCATGAAAGGGCAGACATAGTAATCACTTCCAAATGTTTTCACTACAGTCCACAATTGAGCTTCGGAGATAAGCCTTCTTACATAAAGATTGTATTATTCCATGAAGAGAGGCTTCTTTGTTATAATAAGAGATAAATTATTTGTATAAAGATAAAGTTGTTTTTCCTTTTGGTTGCTGTTATTTCTTTCAATTGCAAACTTATGTTACAACTTTTTCAATTAAGTCATGAACTGCCATGACAAATGGCCACCTCTATTAATTTTGCTTTTTTTTATACTATGCAACAATAATGCTGTGTTTTTTGTACTGATAATCAGAATCACAGAAAGCTCTGTAAAGCTATCCTGCTTGAGTAGTTCTGTAGACATTTGAAAGGGGCAGAAAAGGTCAGATGATTGCCCAAATAAGTAGAAAATGAATACTGTTTTATTCATAAACAATCCAGAAAGATGAAATCTTAGATTATACATTAAATTTGGTGCAAAACCGTATACATTTCCATCTATATCAGCTTTTAACATTCAAACAAAAACTCAATATAGCTCATATCTAAATCATAACATTGCATCTAATAATTTGTTCCTGTTGCGCTGCTGTCGTCTCATTCAAATGTTACAGACTCCATCAACCTGTCCGGGGACGAGCGCGAGTTGGGGAAGGTGTGCGTCCGAGTGAGCTACCAGGAGGCTGTGGAGCAGGTGTGGATCACTCTGGTCCAGGTAAGGTTACATGCTGTGAGGAAAAAGGGCAGCATGAGGACACAAAAAGCTTCATTGTGCTCTTCTGCAGCATTTCTCAATGGACCCTCTGTGTGTCCAGAACACAGGTCTCTATTAGCTCCTCTCAGTGCTCTATTAACTTTGGCTCAGACACTCGGCAGGAAAAGGTTATTTTTTTTAAGGAACAGAACTGTCCCCATTGATGCTAAAGCACAGTGATCCGTGCATCTGAGGAAGAGTGCATTCACGCAAAAGGCGACACCCACTGTGTGTGTGGTAAATATTTGTTTACAGTTTTAAGGCTTTAAGAGACGTCCTCTCAAGGAGCTGGGTCAAAAATAAAAAAAGGGGGACCTCTTTCCCACCCAAGATTAAGGTTTTGGTTAGGGTTCATTTGGGTTCAGTGCAGCACTTGACCTATCCAATGGGATTTTGAACGTTGCACAAATGCCCTTGTTGTGTGACATTATGTCAAATGTCTTTCCTGGAGCATCAATGAAGCATGTCCTGCATGAATAAAGCTTTTACAAAAGAAAAAGAGCACATCAAATGTTAAAGCAGCCGGTTGTTTCTGAAAATATTAAAAACAATACAAATAATACTCACATAATACTCACATCCACACTTTTGTATTTGTGTCCTTTTTGATAAGTAGAGCAGTTTGCCCCAAACCTGTTTGCTTAAGAGCACTTGAGCCTATAAATAGATTTGACCTGCCTCGACTAAAATGTCCTTTTTCCTCTTTCTTTATCAGTGTTCAGACCTCAACGTTCCTCCGGATGGAGTGGAGCAACAAAAGATTGGATTTAAAGGGATCATCACCATCCCCAAACCGATACAGTTCAAGAGCTCGATTAAGGAGTACTGTCAGGTAATGCACAGGACCACTGTCTAAAAACGGATGAAATGCAGAAATTAAAGTTATTTTTATGTTTATGGTCACAAATAAAGTTGTAGCTCAGGTTTTAAGAGAAGGTTTATGAATAAAAAGGTGGTTTTCATTTGGCTCTTTTCCTTTCTTAAGATGCTATGTACCAAAAACTTTGCAGCGTTGTTGTTCCAGTTTGCATCAAATGGATTTATTGTTTCTGAATGACTTTATTGTCTGCTCCTTCTTCTCTTTAGGACGTGTCCTTCATGGAGACCTTTGTATTTGCGCTGCGTCTCCAGCAGTTGCGCTGCAGTGCTCTGGTGTTGCGGCTGCAAACACACAACCCCAGGAAACGTACGGCGGCGGAGTGCGTGCTCTCCCTACGACAGCTCGGCCCTCAGGAGACAGAGCACTGGCTCGACTTCAACCCTCCGTCCAAGTCCTCTGTGAGTGTTCCCTTGTTATGAGTCAGGCTTGTGGCACATGAGTCTGTTTTTGGTCTTAAGTCTGGTGTCCTGTTTTTGTTTCCATTACATTGTCTCTCACTGGTGTTTCAAATAGTAACACAGTTTAAGAACATTTACAAGATCACGGATCACCACGAATGAAACAATTATTATCTCAAACCAGACAAATCTCATGGAAGGGATTTTTTTATATATCATCGACCTTTAACCACTTTACCTCCATGTCAGATTTCGGATTAATTCCATGTGTTTATCCTTAAGAATGTCTTTAGATAGCCTACTATATTAACGGTTTTCCACTGCAGATAGTACCTCCTTCAATGTAGCTGGAAAACTGTCTATCTGTGTGAAACTTCTGTGACTTCATCTTCAACATTATACTGGATGCAGTGCAAGATGTCCCATGTCGCACAAGTATGATTAGTGACTATTCTCTCTGACCAATCAGTGGTCTGCAGTGTTTTAAGTCCACCTATCGACCCAGTTCTCTTAGAACCCCAACCGAGATGATAACAAAAAGAGAGCAGGTAATATCCACAACTTCTGCCAATAGAAAACCAAGGAAAAAAAATGTTCCTAGCAAGTTCAGTTGAGCCGAGTCATTCCATGCAGTGGAACCAAAATGACAAATGTGGAACTCACATGGCGCTAGAGGGAACCTCAGGGGATCACCAAAGTCCACATGGTTCATCTTCTGGGGACCATGAATGTTTGCACAGACTTTCATGGAAACTTTGTTGACATATTTCAGGCTGCACCAGAGTGATGAACCAACTGACTGACTGCCATCATGCTCCTATCATGGCTTATAATACACACATAGTGGCTTTAAATTGCTTGGTATGACCTTTTGTTTTACTCTGTTTAGTCCATCTAGAAAATGTATTTTTGATATTAGATTATGGCAACATAGCAACTAAAGCTACGAAAAGAAAGGCAGAGGGACAAATAGTGATTGACATTTGCTGAGTCACAAAGTTTGAGTCATCTAGTCCAAATAATCAGTGCTGAGTTTGTTATTCGATGTTCATACTGGCTGCTCACCAATGGACCTGGTATGGTCTGGGTTGTTTTACCCACTCTCCAGTTGTTGTAGCCATGAGGAAAAAACCTGCAGTGTGGGAATATCCCAGACTTTTACAACTTATTCTCTGCCATTTCCTCTGTTGGCTGCTGTCTTTTATCACCCCTTTGTACATGCATGGTAAATAAGAACAAAGCACTGTGTGTGCCTTATAAAACTGTCCCCATGATGCATTGTACCCCACTGGAATGTACCGTACTCTTGGCCAGGGTAATATTGATGTTGAGTCAGACTTAATGTTGTTGCATCATCACAGGAATAAGAGAAAGGAGATTCATGATTGAGGGAAATTGGGAAACAGGCTTTTATTTCGGAGAAGAAACAAGAGTGCGGATTCTGGAAATGTAAGACATGGAAAGTAGGTCAAACCTCAAACCATTTCAGCAACAGTGAGTGGTTTTGTTGATAAATGGGTGCATGTCTGGCCAGTGACAGTAAAATGTGAACTGTTTCTGCACTTAAGGGATCAGACAGTGAATCATCATTAGGATGTCAGAGGGACAATTTCATACAGTCAGTGAATTTACCCATCTGGTGGACACAAAAGGCAAAAATTGTCCAAATCACTGTCCCTCGGTAGAGGCTCTTAAGGATGAAGACGGCTGAATTTGTGGAAGTCTTGAACAGGAAAAAAATCAGCAACAATTTGAAAAGAAGCAGGAGCAGTCTAAAATGAATCATACAACAAAACTAAGAGTCTACAGCCGTATTAGTGGTATGCGTCAGTATGCTAACATGCTTACAATGATAATGCTAACAAGCTGATACGTATGAGGTGTGTTAAAAAATGTTGTTCAGCATGTCAGCTTCCTTACATTTGCTTATTATAATTTTATAATGGATAGAATAATGCAGTTTACTGTTTCCCACTCTCCCTTTAAATGTCAGTCATATCCTGAAATCTATAGCATGACCCAGTGTCTTTTTCTTTTTTATTAATTTATAAAAATTCCATCTAAAACATCATGTTACTGGCTAAGTTAAGCAGGTTTATTCAATTGTAATGTGCATATAATAATGGAAATACAAATTACTTTCCTTTGTTTTGGTATCAGTTTTATATATAGAGCCCTGCTCTCTAAATATCAGCAACAGAAAAACACATATCAGTCGACCACTAATCGAGAAGTTGCAGTAATTACCCCCTTTTAAAGTCCAATGTAATACCTCAGACGTGTTACCCCAGGTTTGACGAACACAGAAAATTTTGAAAAACACAAGCGCTGTATTTAAAGGTCAAAATATTTTGTCCCTCAAACTGCTCGTTTGATGTCAAAACTTGAATGTTAGAAGCACTTTGTGCGTTAGGGCCTTTTTTTTGCCAAAATTACATCTTTTTGGCCAATAATTAAAGGTCAATCTGTTGTAGTTTTAAAGTCACAAACTCTTCACATGTAGCTTCAACTGACACCAAACAGCTGTCCTAAAAGCTTACAGTGATTGCTCTGAGAGAACGACGCTAAAAGGTCAAAATATCAAACTCTGAGACTCTGTAACTGCTACAGTGCTGGTCCAGTTCGGATGAAGCTCGATGGTGGTTGGTCTTTCTTGGACATGTTTACTTGATGCTGGTGATGTCTTCGGTGCTCAGTAGCCCCTAAGAAGTCCAGAAAACAAATTATGTATTATGTTTTTTGTTTGTCTTAAAGTTTCCTTTCTTAATCAGTGGATGCATTACTAAGCAACTAGGTACTGTAGCTGTAGGTTATTTTGTCAGGCTGCTTCCCTTTATAATCTTCTGAAGTGTCTTTCAGGATGTTTTGCAGAGCCAGCACTATAACAAACATCCATAAAACTGTAAAATCTTTCTGAATTTGGATACATGATTGCATCCATTATCCATTATGAGAGAGAAATTCAAAGATTATTCCTCTATACACAATCAAAAATTAACTATTAAATGTCTAAGTATTAAAATGTAATTGATCACCCTCTTTCAGGTGTGTCACTCCGAGCTGCATCTCACCACCTGCTTTCAGCCAGTCAATGGACGCATCCAGCTCCAAGTCCTCGCCGCCCAAAACCTCCCAGCAGCCTCCTCACCACTCACCCAAGGTAGGTGTCACTGAAATGGTCTAATGTGAACTCCAGTCCCGTGTGGTTCATGTGAGTAACCATACTGTTGTTTCCATACCTCTCTCTCTCCACTCTGAAGCATTTTTTGTCAAAGTGGAGATGCACCAGTTGGGGCGGGTGGTGATGAAGAAGAAGACCCGCGTGCTGAAGGCCTCGGGGGGTCAGTGTCAGTGGACGGAGACCTTCCACTTCCTCCTCGCTGCGTTAGATCACGCCTGCTCACTGTCGGTCAAACTTTACAGCCGGAGCTCGGTCCGGAGGAAACAGTGTCTCGGACAAGTGAGTTGTTTTTCGTAAAGAAATTATGACCCAGACTTTTCTTTTAATTAGAATGACCTAGAGCATTTTTTAAAAATACATTTTTATTATTTATTGTTGTAATATTACACACTATAGGCTTCACTTATAGTGGAGCTGTCATTACTGCTGATATGATGAAGGAAACTGTTTCATTTAGTAGTTGTTCCTGAGCGTTCAACGCATTTTCTTGGTAAATGAATTCTTCATATGCCAGTTTTCTTCTGCTAATGCGCCAAAAAGTATCTCATTATGTCAAGATGTTTTTCCTTCTCAGAACATAAAGTACTTCTTAAGTAAACTGACCAACTTCCTGGCATTAAAATTGAGATAGATTTTCAATAACTACCTCATTAATATCAATACGTACTGACAAAAGCTAAATTAGCCATCAGCTCTTGATGAACAATGCCCCCTGTGGCCACAAGTGGTAATTACAAAATATCGGCATGCTGTTTTCCCTGTAATGATAAAACAATAAAAAAAAATATGTCTGTGACATGCTTAAACATAAAGTGTAACAGCAGTACAAGTAGTAAAGAATAATAGCAAAAATATGTATCTGACATTTGCTAACATTAGCCACTATGCTACTGGTCATACTAGACCAAGCAAGGCGGGTTGGGATATTTCTTCATTTAAAAGTTTAATTTCCATACACAGTCATGTTCTGAAGAAAAGATTTAAATATGAATGGACAAGCTGAAGAATTATCGTCTTCCCAATGTTTCTGGCAGGTTCAGCTGGGATTTGACAGCCCTGTCGGAGAGGCAGTGGAGCAGTGGAAGGACACGATGGCTCACCCAGAGAAAGTGGTGTCTGCGTGGCACAGGCTGAGCCCTGCCTAAACCTCCTAAATTCCTCTTTGGGCACTACGAGACGTGACGCTCCCATGCTGCAGGTACAGCGGTGCCTGCTTGCTTTTCCAGTCGGCCGGCCACAGTCCTGTACGCTGGCTGAGTGGACTCTGATGGACCAGACTGTAAACCACTGAACGTGGTCTGAATGGCCTGGGAGACCCGGTTTCCACAGAGACAGATTAGGTGCTCGGTTGTAAATAGGGTTTTCGAACAAAGTACATAAGGTTCTGGAAAAGGTTTTTAGGTGTTTTTTGTGTAAACAAAATTAAGTTTATTATATAGCTTAGCTTTTAGCTGTATATAATGCTGTATTTTGTAAGTATATCAGCTTTTTAGTCAAAACCTTGCCACTCTGTTTTAGTTGGAGAGAAAGTTTACAAGCAGAGTCAATGACCATAAAGTCAAACTTGCTGTATTAAAACCTAAAGTTATCAGTGTGTAATTAAGGTCCATCTTAAAGGATGAAGCTTGTGATATTCTATGTTTTTCTTGTCAAGAAACCAACCAGCCAACACTACATTTGTCTATTTCTCAATACTTTCCGACTTTCCTATCATGTCTCTCGCTCTTGAGCTAAACCCCATTGCTTTCTAATGAAGACGTAAGGCTTCCTAAAACAGCTGGACACTGTAGTTTGTTTTTTTTACAGACATTACTTAAACCTGTAATAACTTGTTTTTTGGCCACTTGGAGGCAGCAGAAGCAATTTGTGATCACAGCACTTACATATCACCACTTTTTAAGTTGATATGGGAACTTATAGCAAACAGCTGTGAACATAAGTCCAATATTAACACTCTTTTATTAACTAACTTTTAACTTTTTAGTCCCTACCAACTTGTTTGGGAACTATCTGGCTCTTTAGCTGCTGAATGCGCTGCTATGTTCATCAGCTAGTTGCTAACTGTGTCTGAATAGAGCTCTATTGTACAGAGAAATTAGCAATATTAGGCTTAGGATACACAGACTTGTTGAATCAATTCACTGTTGGTTTTGGTCTTTTTCTGGTATTTCTTGACAATAAGAAAAATATCTCTCTACTTATCCTTTAATTTCCTATAAGGTGAGATAGAAGGTTTTCCCTTACCCTAATTTAACTATATAGGATATCATGTTACTGTACAATACAACAGTATCAAACCTTAGCTGTACGCTTTTGATAGTGAAGCACTTTAATTTTTTTATGTATTTAATGTTTTAAAGTTAAGTGATTAAAAGTAGGTGTCATTTGGAAACGTCCAGTTTGTTTGTGTGTTTATTTAAAGAAAGAAGTGAAGAGAGCGTTAATGGAAAATAAAATGTTTGAGGATTAGTCTATAAGTGATATTTTGTTTCAGTAGAACGTGAAATAAGAAGAAGGTTACTTCAAGTTTTAGGGATTTTAAGTGAAATGTGATCAATAGTCTTTTTTTAATGTCTCATTTGTGCCACAAAAAGGAAAACATGGCAAGGTCTTCAGCATGTACTGTACATTGCACACATTACACACAGTCTGCGGCGCTTGTAAAATGGGTCAACAACCATAAACCACTGCATCACTTTTTATTGAAGAGGCCACTGATTGAGAAATCTCAAGGCAAACAGCAGGATAATCTGCCACACGGTGTTTCTCCTCTTGACTCTTGAACATCCTGTTTTTTCAATTTCACCCTTTATCACAAAGGCAATTTAACGTCACTACTGTACTGTATACGAGCAATTTCATTCTCATCCTCGACACTTGAGGAGCGACTATAGAAAAGGACATTTTGTCGTTTGTGGAAAAATCAAAACAATTTCTGTTCAGCTGCAGCACTTTGAAAGTTGAGTTTCAAATTCAATTAAATTTGTCTACTTTGTGAAAAATTGCAACATTACAGAGGGAATGTGTGAAAGTTTGGAGATTTGTAACAACTTTTATGATTCTAATGATCATTTTGAACATAAAATAACATTTTTGAGAAACAAATTTGTGCTATTTGGGAATAAAACCCTCATATTTATCACCCCAAAGGGAATCCTGTCTCCCTTTCAGTCTCATAAAGCATGAGATTGACCAGCGACGTGCTCTGTGTAACCAGCTGTGGACGTGGACACTCAAACACACACCCAGCGAACAATAAGTCTGTGGACCAAGAAAACAGAGTCTGGCGAGTGTTTGCATTTTAAGTGTGTGACCAGGACAACCAAGCGCTCCACGTGAGCTGACCTGCGTCAGAGCCTTTCATATCCTGGCATGCCAAAACACCATCATCTTGTTTTTACGTAATTAATGTTTGATTTATGGTTAATGTTACACAGAGGGCATTCCAGACACACCTCACCCTGTGACTTGACTTTAACAGCCAGCTCAGAGGAGCGTGTTTAACTCTGACTCAAGAAAGGTGCTTGAGACTCGGAAGCAGGATTTAGGTTTTTTTTGTTCGTCTGTGTGTTTAACAGACTCTTTTCTTGCCACACTCAGTCTGCTGCACATTCCAGTTGTCTCATAACTGCATGCTTGTATGTGCAGGTTCCTTCACCTGGGAGACACAATGGAGAGTTTACAGGAGTCCTGCAGCAGAGGAGAGCTGTAAGATTCATGCCTCTCTCAACATACAAATGACCCTCTTCTGATTTTCATTAAAAATAAAAGGGTTATATGACATATGACCACCTAAATTTATTAAAACTCGCTGACAACCTGTTGGAAAAAACTCAGAAGACCTTGAGGGAAAATAAAAACATATTTTCTTAAATCCTAAATGTAATTCCTGCAGGATTTTTGTAATGTTTTTTCCAGCTATATTCTTAAAGAATTTGCATGTTTTTCTCTCTCCAGCTGAAAAAGTGTTTTTGAGATAAAAGATTGTATGACGATATGTATTCAAACAGTCAAAACTATGAAGGGATCATAGTGAGCTATAGATCATAACTCCAAAACAAGACAAAATCAGTATAAACTGTTAACAAAAAGTCATTATTAATCAAAATTATAAAATTATCAAGAAGGTTTTGCAATGTTAAAAGATACAGATGAAACCTGACCAACTGTGTATGCAAAGCCTGATGTATGTTATTCCACCATGCTATAGAACTTCATTGTTATATAAAAATGATTAAAACACATTATTATAACTAACACAGTTTATTTTGAGTCAGTCCGACATGCAATGTCCTGCTGCTGGAAATACTCATTAGAGCAACAAATAATCTGCAGTTGAAAATAGTCCCCAACAAATAAACTATTTACTACATATTATATTAAAACTACATATTGATGACTCATTTTTGTTTTTTAGATTTTCAGAAGGACTCATTGAGCTTGGGGTTGAATGCCACAGACAGGGTACGGAAGTTAGAGTACCTCATTGTTGGTCTTTTCATTGGATTTGTTGACAAAAATATACAGTGGGTACGGAAAGTATTCAGACCCCTTTAAATTTTTCACTCTTTGTTTCATTGCAGCCATTTGCTAAAATCAAAAAAGTTCATTTTATTTCTCATTAATGTACACTCAGCACCCCATCTTGACAGAAAAAAATAGAAATGTAGAAACTTTTGCAAATTTATTAAAAAAGAAAAACTGAAATATCACACGGTCATAAGTATTCAGACCCTTTGCTGTGACACTCATATTTAACTCACATGCTGTCAATTTCTTCTGATCCTCCTTGAGATGGTTCTGCGCCTTCATTGGAGTCCAACTGTGTTTAATTAAACTGATTGGACTTGATTAGGAAAGGCACACACCTGTCTATATAAGACCTTACAGCTCACAGTGCATGTCAGAGCAAATGAGAATCATGAGGTCGAAGGAACTGCCCAAGGAGCTCAGAGACAGAATTGTGGCAAGGCACAGATCTGGCCAAGGTTACAAAAGAATTTCTGCAGCACTCAAGGTTCCTAAGAGCACAGTGGCCTCCATAATCCTTAAATGGAAGAAGTTTGGGACGACCAGAACTCTTCCTAGACCTGGCTGTCCAGCCAAACTGAGCAATCGTGGGAGAAGAGCCTTGGTGAGAGAGGTAAAGAAGAACCCAAAGATCACTGTGGCTGAGCTCCAGAGATGCAGTAGGGAGATGGGAGAAAGTTCCACAAAGTCAACTATCACTGCAGCCCTCCACCAGTCGGGGCTTTATGGCAGAGTGGCCCGACGGAAGCCTCTCCTCAGTGCAAGACATATGAAAGCCCGCATAGAGTTTGCCAAAAAACACATGAAGGACTCCCAGACTATGAGAAATAAGATTCTCTGGTCTGATGAGACCAAGATTGAACTTTTTGGCGTTAATTCTAAGCGGTATGTGTGGAGAAAACCAGGCACTGCTCATCACCTGCCCAATACAATCCCAACAGTGAAACATGGTGGTGGCAGCATCAGGCTATGGGGATGTTTTTCAGCTGCAGGGACAGGACGACTGGTTGCAATTGAAGGAAAGATGAATGCGGCCAAGTACAGCGATATCCTGGAAGAAAACCTCTTCCAGAGTGCTCAGGACCTCAGACTGGGCCGAAGGTTCACCTTCCAACAAGACAATAACCCTAAGCACACAGCTAAAATAACAAAGGAGTGGCTTCGGAACAACTCTGTGACCATTCTTGACTGGCCCAGCCAGAGCCCTGACCTAAACCCAATTGAGCATCTCTGGAGAGATCTGAAAATGGTTGTCCACCAACGTTCACCATCCAACCTGACAGAACTGGAGAGGATCTGCAAGGAAGAATGGCAGAGGATCCCCAAATCCAGGTGTGAAAAACTTGTTGCATCATTCCCAAGAAGACTCATGGCTGTAGTAGCTCAAAAGGGTGCTTCCACTCAATACTGAGCAAAGGGTCTGAATACTTATGACCATGTGATATTTCAGTTTTTCTTTTTTAATAAATTTGCAAAAATTTCTACACTTCTGTTTTTTTTCTGTCAAGATGGGGTGCTGAGTGTACATTAATGAGAAATAAAATGAACTTTTTTGATTTTAGCAAATGGCTGCAAAGAAACAAAGAGTGAAAAATTTAAAGGGGTCTGAATACTTTCTGTACCCACTGTATAATATTGCCAACCTTATCCTTTAAGTGTGTTGGGGAAAAAGGGGAATTTTTTTCTAGGGACCCAACTTTTTAAAAATGACAAACTATGGCAACTCAATTCACAGCGAGAAGAGCAAATTTGTACATAAATGAACATTCCTGAGAATTTTTACTGCTATTTCTGCATCACCTCATATTTTCTTGAACAGGTAAAGCAGCCATTTTGAAGAGATAAGTTTGATAAATCATAACTTCGTCATCACTAAAACAATAACTACGTTTCTCAGTAAAACTGAGAAAAAATATGTGCATTTAGGAAAAGTTAAGGCTCTCGTTTTGTACCTCATCAGTAGAACAATGTATTAATTTTAAATACTTATAAATTAAAACAAAATATATGAATTTAGCAGGAGGTCTTCCAGTCTCTAGGAATTAATGACACAATTATCATGTGGAATCTTTGAGTTTGCCATGAGGAGGCGCCAAAGTCCAAAAAGATTTTAGATCCTACGTATTGCAACTTTAATAGTTCCTCAAAGAATAGGTTATTTAACTGCCTCAGTTTAGACACAAATGTCAGATACAGCTTTATAAGTGTATGAGTAATCATACTAATTAATCAGTAAAATATTCGTTCCAACACAATCAAAAAGACAAAGCAGCTATGATTCATATTTCTATAAGAACTTTTCATTTAATTATTATGTAACGTAAAAGTTGTTGCTCTCAGTAACAAATCCACAGACAATCAAAGTCTGACACTGCAGTTCCTCTCAACTGTACAGTGTTTTAGGGTCTCTCAGCTCATTGTTTTGGTTTTCCAACCTGCAACTTTACTGTTTTAGTTCACAGTCACTCTAGCGTAGTGTAGTTTTTAGCAGCAGGTAGCTGTTTTTTTTTTTTTTAAACAAAAAACCTATAAAAACTCACTGTACACTACCTGCCCAGAACTAAACTGCAGACAGACACAGTTTGCAATCAGCTGGTGAACATAGTGGAGCATTTAGCAGCTAAAGACCCAGATATTTCCTTCAGGAGTTGGTAGAGACCAAAAGACAGGCAAAAGCGATTATAATATGTCTCTAAATAAATGCTAATATTGTTGCTGGATGTTTAGATAAGTTTAAAACTGTTTGCTGACGCATATTAACCTAAAAGGTGCTACTGATAATACTGTATGTCAGTTTTGTGTTCAGAGCCTGTTTCCGCTGCCCCCAAGTGGCCATAAAATCAGTTATTAATGGTTTAAATGGAGTTAATACTTGGTTGAACTTGAAGGATAAGTTACCAAAGCACCCAACGATTACGTTTTTCTTAGCAGTGTAAGCTGAAATGATTAACGAGGGAGTTAGATCAATGGAGAGGTTTAGAGGAAGTTGCAGTCATTCTGTTGATATCAGGAAGCAGTAAAGGGAGACAGAGTAGAGAATAATGTCCAGCAGGGCCACATGTGGTTGCAGAAGTACTACCACATTATTCTCATTAACCAGGTATATGTGCACTTCATCCTCCTATTGGGTGCAGCTGCTTCAAAGCAGGAGAGCTGTGGTCGACCACCAGCTGCTGTTTTTTCATTAAAATGGGATTAAAAAAATCTCTCGTCTGTCTGGAAGATGTTCAGCTACAGCTTCATCTCCTGGATTTGAATTCTTCACATACTGAAACTGATGGAGTGAAAACTTGAGCTCTTGGTTTAGAAAGATGTTTCCTTTCCCCTGTCTGAGTTTCTCTGCCTCGCACACACTGCAACTTAATTGCAAATGCATTCAGGTAAAAAGGAAAAGCCTGTTTCCTTGGACAGAACATTGTTCACCTTAAATCTTTCAGAAATTCATCATTCAAAAATATGCCAAGAGTCTTTACCAAACAGTCAACGTCCATGCTGAGTCTCTGAAGGAGTCAGTGCGCCCTCCTGTGATAATTGGTAGAAATTGCAGCATTTGATGGGCATCAAGTGTTGAGCAAGGTGTGGGTGTGAACAGGGTGACGCATTTATTCAGGCATAAAAAACTCCCCTCTACAATGAAAAAGCAGGCAGGAACAAGCAAAGCTCAATTGCCAAGATCACACTGAACAGTATGGACACAGACAAGAAAAATGTGGTTCTAAGAGAAGGATTCCTGGTGAAAAGGGTAAGACTTTTTTTGTGAAACACTTAATAAAACAAATGCTGTTAAATATAGACAGTGTAGTGAGGGATGTAGCATACGGTAAACATACATATTTTTATATGTGGAGCAGAGTTTTGTCTTTTTTCTTAAATGGATGTACACTTTTATCACTAAAATCCAAGTAAAGTCAAACTAATGTAAGTTATATTAGGGCTGAACCTTTGCAAGAGCAAAGAGTATGTTTCTTTTCTGAGAATATAATACATCTTTGATCATCTGATCACAGGGTCATCTTGTACACAACTGGAAGGCTCGCTGGTTTGTGTTGATGTCAGACAAGCTGCTGTATTACAAGTACGAAGGAGGCAAAAGGGACTCATGTCAGCGAGGGAAAATCCTACTGAAGGACTGTGAAATAACTTGTCCTTTTCTGGAGTATGAAAGTCGACCGGTAAGTTCTTCCAGACGCAAAAGAGATACACAAAAGTTTCACAAAACATTGTTAAAGGTTTCAGAAGTGGAAGATTCTATTGAAAAAGTGTATTCTTAGTTTAAGTGAAGTCATAGTAAGTATGTATGTAGTTTTCTGTCTGTTGCCTTCATTTGTGAAATCAGTTAAACCCAAAGAAGACCAAATAATAATATGATGATAACATTCATGTAGGGCAGAACGAAACAGCATTATGAAGTACTGTGGTGCTTCAGAGATACCCTGACTTACAATTCCTGTTCTCTAGATTTAAGAAAACACGCTTTTTTATGACAGACATTTGACAATTTCATGATTTTAATAGTTTTTTCAGTGAAAATTACATTTGTGATTCAAAAAGGATCATTTTCACACTAATCATGAATAATTTTGAAATATAGGTCAAAACATTTGCAAATACGATGTTGTTACCGTATTGTGCAGCTCTAAATTCATGTTTATTGGGAGAAACAGTCAATGAATGTGCCTTCATAACTTGGTTTGAATCTATCATAAAACACTATATTTGCAGAAATATACATAAGACACAAAGACATAGATTTGAATTTACATTGTAAGATTACACATGCTGAGACAACTGAAGTTTGTGCCCTGTTCCAGCTGCGGTCTGTAACATGGATGCACTAGTGTTTTCCTTTGTTTATGTTTTTATTGGTAGAAACCACATTGAAGGTGTGACTTCACCAGCTGGGTCTCTCTGATCTTCTCACGCTTGATGAGAAAATGTTTTGCCTCAGGTTACTGTTTTGTCAGGACCTGATCTCCATCTTCTGCCAACTTTGTTATCCATTTTTGGACAAACGTTGGACCAAAGTCCTCTGGGAATAACAGAACTGAACATCAATCTCTTATTTTAGTTGGTGTTCAAGCTCCAGACAAAGAATGGGGTGGATCATTTTTTGGAGGCTTGTTCCCGTGAGGAGAGAGATGACTGGGCAGCTGACATCACCGCTGCGGTCGACAAGCTGCGGACGACCGAAGGTGGGAGGAAGACAAACCAACCGGAACCTGCTGAATCCCAGTTACACGACATCAATCTGAGGTAAGCCTTGAGAAACAAAGGTTCTCCCACAGACTTTGCAGCATGTTAAACATTGTGGTGTTTTCACTGTCTCACCTTTTGTCTCTGTTTACTTTGTTTAACATTTCTGTCTGCCTTCTTTGTTTCTTTCAAAGCAAAGTGTTGGATTCCATGTACGACATCCACAGTGGAATCAGGATGAGCAACCATGTAGAGCAGGGCAGCACTTACAGCAACTGTTTCTCAGGTCAGCTTCTACAATATTTAAATTCTTCTGCATCATCTCAGAGGCTGTTTGCTTGGAGACAATGCATCCACCTTTATAATCTGTTGTAGGATGGGATTGTAGCACCCATTGGTTACTGTCTGTTGGTTATAATCCCTGCACCTGTTTTGCTCATGAAGCCAATGACAGTAAAAAGTACTATGGAAAAACAATATAGAGTATAAACTATATTATCATTAGTCATCTTCTGTAACTTAGATTGTATCTTTAGCTGTCATTAGTAATTAAATAAATTGTATTACTTAAGTTTTAATGGTTTACATAAGATAATATAATGTATTGGAACACGTTAAGGAGAAAAATACATTCAAAATAAAGTAGAATAAAATAAAAAAGTATAATCTCAACACTCCCGTCTTTATCTTTATATCTATATGAAAATTGCCTTCATATTTGTATCCAATAACCTGTTTATACATCTAACAATACCTTCCTTATCACTTTGTTTAACACAATTTTTATATAATTATATATCATTTCTTCTCCCTATGCACATTTAGTGTTTTAAATGTCCAAATATAGCAATGCACAGTCTTCCATCTATCTATTGTTCTTGTGTATATACATATATCTGTATATATCCGGCTCCAATACTTGTATAGACATATACAAATGTGTTGTCTCTGCAGGTTCAGAGGTGGTGGACTGGCTGGTGTTCTCGCAGCTGGTTCTGACCCGTGTGGAGGCCATGACGTTGGCCTCGGCCCTGCTGGAGGAGGGTTTCCTGCGGACCATCGGCCTGAAGAGTGTGGAGGCTCTCCGCACCGCCGGCCTCAGTGAGCAGTTTATGGACGACTCCACTGCGCTGTACAGCTTTGTGAGTGCCAGGAAGTCTTGGTGTACTGACCTCCAGCACTTTATTGCTGGATAATGCCAACATACATACAGATTATCAGTGTAATTAATCCACAGCATGTTTAATCCCAGTCTGACAGTTTGAAGAAGAGAGGCAGTGTGAAGGCTGAGACCTCGCTGTCTGCAGTAGAGCTGAGTGGAAAAGTGATAAAGAGGGGATATCTACTCAAACAGGTAAACACACTGTGTTAGCTCTGTGTTAAGATGCTGGAAATAACAATGAATAAATACATAAGATTCAGCACAAATTTCAAATATTTAAAAAGGCTTTATAAGTTATACCTAATGGCGTTATAAGACTTTATCAATTATAAGCCATTATTCTGAAAAAAGGGTTGCAGAGAATCTGGACCAGAATCTTTTATTTAACAGCTTATTAACATTTATAACTGTAGGAATGATGGTTTATTACAAAGTAAGAACCCCACTGGTAAATGAACTACCAGCATTTATAAAAGCATTATTACTGAATAGGTAAAAAAAAAAAAAGGTTTTTTCACAACCTGGCAACAACAAATTCATTCTTATTTCTACTCCAAGTACTAATCTTTTATAAGCGTTATCTTATTATAAAGTGGTACTATTATATCATATGACTTTCATTCACACACTTGGCCGTTTAAACACAGGGCCACAGAAGGAAGAACTGGAAGGTGCGACTGTTTGTGCTGCGTTCAGAGCCGGCTTTCCTTCACTATTTTGATCCAACAAAGGTGAGTGTTCAACATAGGGCAATAAACTGCAAATAAAATCACTAGAGAAAGTTAATTAATTACCTGGTAACACCTTATAGAAAGTGTGATTCACTTATGGACACAGAGCAAATATAAAAACCGCACAAAGACTTACGATTATATGACCTAAATATGGCAGTGAACACTATAAAGCAGACCTGGCCTAAACAGCACAGTTGTTTTGTTTGCCTGTTTCCCTCAGGCCGACTATGACCCTGCTATCATTTCCTTCAACACTCATAATTCCCCTTTAACTATTTACTCAAATCTGAGTCAGTCTAATCCACTTCCTGTCTTATGTCACTTGTCAGGATGATATCAGCCCCGTTGGTGGTTTCTCACTGCGAGGCTGTCTGGTGTCTTCTCTGGACGATAATGGCGTTCCCTCAGGTGAGTCACTGTCTATGTCAACATATACTGTACGTAAACAAGCAAATGATTACAAGGCAGGACCAGTATTAAGAAGAAATTGTTTTGGTTTCCTTTTTTTTTTACTCAGGTTATATGTCTGGGAGAATTTAGAACATTAAATGGTGCGATGAGGTGAATGGAGGATGATTTCACTGATCCTGCAAACGTAGTCCGTCCATTCGAGATACATGTATACAATGTTCTATGTTTCTTATTACTTGTGAAAAACACCAAGCCTGATATATCTTATTATTGTTGATGTTTTCATCCTGCTGCTGTAAATACTAATTGAAGCTCAATATCTCAGAGACCAAAAAAAAAAAAAACAGATACCAGATGAGCAGTGGTTTTTTTTTTCTATTTCTTCATATTGTTGGTTTTGGTCTTTTTATGAGATGTGTTGATAATAAGAAAAATACACCCAGAATCATCCTTTAAAGCTCACAGATCATACAGTCACAGACCTGTATTTTGGGTTTCTGATTAAATGTGAGCCATAATTTATTGTATTTAACACTAATGCAAAACAAAAGTTACTTAATGTGTCTTTTGGTTTTTCATATTGAGCTGTTACTACACTTTTTATTCTTTAATGTGTCTGTCTGTCCATTTAAAGCAGCCTTATTGTGTCAATCTTAATGCAGTTATACTTTTTATTTGATCCTCCCACACAGGCGTGAAAGGCAACATTCAAGGCAACTTGTTTAAAATCATCACTCAGTCGGACACACATTACTTCATCCAGGCTCCGACCCACCAGGAGAAGATGGACTGGATAGATGCAATCAGAAAGCAGACATAGAGCAGTGGATTAGTTCATTTATCCAGCTATGAAGAAGACTTTGACTTTACACATTCCATGAATGTTTACTGTAGCAACAAACTGGGAACATGCAATCAGATGAAAGTGTTGATGGATACATTTCTGTTCATTTATCTCAAAAATAATTCTGTATTTTAAAGTTTGTGCAATGAGGATTTAAAGGGCTTTAAAAGCCCAACAGTTGTAGCAGTTTCTCTTGAAATCACTCAGTTTTAATGTGTTTTAACAATGTTATCATTATTAAGCATAATCATTATGACTTTATTCTCCACATTAAATGTTTACATCACTCCAGACACCAGTGGTGAAAAGTACATTTAATTTTAAGCAACTTGTATTTTACTTAAATATTTAAGTTTTCGGCTATTTTACACTTGTACTACATTTAAGAAATAAATACTTTACTAACTACTGTTGTAACTCTTCTACCTTTATGCGACAGCTGTGGTCACTAACTTACAGGTGAATATTTTAACTAAACCAACATGTTATAAACTTGTAAGATATAATAATGAATAGTTAATATTAATTCAGTGGTTCTCAAGCTCTTTGGCTCGTGACCTCTTACAGAAAAACACTCTGTGGGCTTTTTGTCTTCTATCAGATGTCTCTGAGAAACATTTTCCAGATGGTTTCATTTCAATAATGTCTAAGGCCCGAAGAGGTAAAATGATCCAATATTTATAACAGCTGAGCAAAGTCTTAAAATGAATACATATTTATGTAGCAGAACTTAGTTTTTCCTACTTTCCTCTCCCATTAATCATCCCAGTTTATTCTGGGAGTAACCCAACCCTTAAGTTTGGAACCACTGGACTCAAAAGTGGTTAAATCTAGCTCCGCCATGACCAACTTCAGTAGTAAAATGACACATATGCATCAGTATTAGTAATCTAGATATGTGATATATATATAATATGTCTTTTTAATAAGTACTTTTGCTTTTGATACTTTAAGTACATTTTGGCTGATAATACGTAGTTTTGTACATATCTTAAAAAGCATTTAGTTTCCTCAACAAAGGCCACAGAAGATATTAAAAAGTATTGAATTTCAATCACAAAAATCTTTTACAAATATTTTGTTTGCCTTCTATAAGCAGCAGTGTTATGAAATGTTCTTGTTCTCCAGCTGTAACTCTGGAAAAAATCTAATATAATAAAAAAGAATTCTAGGTCATATCGTCCCTCGTGGTTTTCCATCATAATTTTATACCAGTCTGACCATGAAACAGGTTTTAAATTATGAACAAGAGTTCTAGATGTGCTATGAAAAGGGTCTTAAAGGCCCAGTGTGTAACATTTAGCAGGTTCTATTGGCAGAAATGTAATATAATAATCATAGGTATGTTTTTATGTTTGTTTAGTGTAGAATTACCTGAATATAAGAATTGTTGTGTTTTTGTTACCTCAGAATGAGACGTTTTTATTGAGCGAGCGGGTCCTCTTCTACAGAGGCCACCATGTTTTTAGAGTATCCCAGAATGAACAAACCAAACATTGGCTGTAGATATGGCCTTTTGTGGTTTTTGTGGATGTTGTAGACTGAGCTGTATTCAACTGTTTGCACTCTGTAACCTAACCGCTACATGCCATCAAACTCTATACACTGGCCCATTAAAAAACTCTTAAAGTGAACCAAACTGAAACCTGCAGACGCCCTGAGGGGAGTATCTTTGTGGGGTTACATATGGTACTTTTACATTATGTAGAGGCTCTGACACCACAAGGAAGTACAAGTAGAGACAAGAACAACCGCAGGAAGTATTCATCACAATCATCAAGTTTTAGTTCAGGCCGGCGGCTCCCAGCAATCAGATGGGCACTCCCAGTCAGCAAGCTGAGTCGAGCCTTTATCTGAATGACTCAACCTGAGCTGGCGTTGGTTTAGAGTCTTGTTCCAGTGAAATCATAAGTGACACAATACCTCAGCCATATATGATAATGTTGAGTGGATTTTGGAGTAAATCCAAGCAGCGGTTACTCAGCCACAAAGCGGAAAACAACAAAACAAATAACAACAAAAGTGATTTATTGCAGGTGAGAAAAGTCAATATGAAACATTCACATAAAAAGTGCTTGTGGTAAAAATCAAAGCACACAAACCAGTGGGCGTTAGAGGCTTTTAAAAAGCTAAACCTGTTGATGGTAGAATAACAGAATGTGTGACATAAACCTAATCCTTCCAGCTTTGTGTTGAATCTGGAGGCAAACTCAGAAGAATGACACATAATGTGTATTACTGGCATGCACTAACGCAAGCTATCGTTTAACATTATTACACCTGTTACAGTACTTAGTCGGGCACAGAATGACAATCAATTGATTTCAGGAACATTCATCTTCATGCAGGCGCTCGTAAACGGAAGTGCTTTCAAAGGTTATCTCCAGAGAAATCAAAGACAAACGTCTGAGATCCGAATGCACAAAGTCTGATGCAGCACTTCGTGACGCATCGTGTTTGTACAAATGTTCATTACGGGAAAATATTATAGCTTAGACCACATTTGCTTAATTCACTTCAAATCACATTCTTCAGTTTATTTAAGACAATGATGACTGTTACATTCAGTCATTATCTTCAAGTCTCCAAATAGGTAATCTAGTGAAGGCACTTTGTCTTAGCACGTCATTACGAGGCAGGCGTAACTTTATTTGGACACCCCCACTATGGGTTCATTTATTCACTCAAAAAGTAGCTCTATTCTAATCTTATGTTTTGAATACTGTCCCAGAACGTCCCTAATGTATGCTTCTTTCTACTTGCTGGTGTTAGGCCACCTTGGTAAGCTGTAGATCTCCAAAGACCCGTAAGGCAGTGAGGGAGGCGAGCGGAGAGAGCCGGTGGGTGAATCCACACAGAGGCTGTCCGTCCACCAAGATACGAAACTGCTGGTGCTCACAAACTATCTCCATCTGAGAGTCAGAGAGGAGGTAGAGGAGAAGAGGGTCAGGTTTTTTATATCTAAAGCTTTATGTGAGAACACACATTGTTAAACAGAGAAGACTGTTCTGTTACTGAGAAGTCACAGATTTGCCTGATTTAGGTGTTTAATATTTAGACACTAAAAGTTGAAAAATGCTCTTATTATGAGGGATGTGTGCCAACATGTTTGTTTCACTTTAACTTTGATTGTTGCTTTTTTTAAAACAGGCGGAGGTTTTCTGAGTAACATAAACAATAACTGTGTGCCAACATACAAACACACAACATGCATATAATAATTAAATGACATAATTAAGGTAAATGCATAAATTATAAGTAAATAAGACAAAAACAAAAAAAATCCCCATGCTGGGTCTAGAGTGGGGCATAGGGTGGAATCTGCTGACTTTGGTGTCAAATGTTGTCAAATATAACACATTAATTCAGAATAATTTAAGAAATAATGTGTTAAAAAAATGAAATTACACACAGATTTCAGGAACAGGTTCAATGGAAGAAGACAACAACAGTAATGTATTGATTTCTAATGATATTTCTATTCAATAATTCAATAATGTGCCACAAAAATGTAATGTTTCTGAATTACAATATTTTAATTTGGGGGCTTTTCCAAGCAAATTGTTTGTGATTAAATCAGCATATATTTCTGCAACCTCTTGCCACCCAAACGTAGAAAGAACTGCAGAAATTCTCCAGTAAAACTATTTTTCACAATCACTCATGCAGAGATCAGATACTGATCAACTTTGCGATCAATTCTCACTGTTAGTCACTCTGCGTTAGTGTCACCTCCCCACATACAGTCAGAGATTATACGTGTACCTTGAAGGATTCTCCTGGTGCAAAAGGAAAGAAGGAGAGGGTAGTTTCAGCTCGACCCCACTTTCCGGCCAAGCGGGCGTTACGTTGGACGGCCTTGTCCATGAAGTTGACCTTTAACTGAAGTCCCACGTCGCCCTCTGTGTCTTCCTCCTGAGGATTACTGGACACGATCACCTCAATGCTGTTCAAACACACGAGAGATCAGGGAAAACACCAAAGTGCTGCAAAATACAACATTTATAAAAGACTGACGTGCAGTGGTGTATTTTCTTCGTCTCTTTCCACTTCATATTTCTACTCTGCTACATTTTGGAAGGAAATTCTTACGTCACTACAATTATTTAGCAGCTTTAGTTACTTTACAAATCAAGATTTTTGCACACAAAGACATGAAAATGTGCAAATAAACCAGTAACTTGATTTATAAATGTGATTCTTTAGAGAACAGTGACATCTTCTGGTCTTTATCACAACTGGAATGTAGTGATAAAGTACTTAATGAAGAAGACTGAATAACAAATGATGGGGATAATTGATCATTGATTTAAGCACTTTGATCTTTTGAGAGCAAGTAGCCTGAATAATAAATAATGTATGGAAGGCACATTGGCTTATTACTGCAGGAGAATTTATAAGACTGATCATTTTTGTATGAACTTTTTAGTGGTGGAAATACTCAAATAGCCTACTGTATTTAAGATATTTACTTTGGTGTTTTCACTTTATGTTAGTTTACACATCTACTCCATTACATTTCAGAGGGGAATATTGCACTTGTTACTTACTACATTTAGATACTTTGCAGATTAATATTTTTTAACAGACAAAACATATGATCAGTTCATAGAATATTATGCACTAATAAATTATCCAAAATAATATAAAGTAGTTAAAATTAGCTCAGTGTCAGTAATAAAGAGGCCAAATAATACAACACTGCAGAGACATTACTGAGTATGTTTACTTTGGATACTTTAAGTACATTTACTTCCATTACTTCTACACTTTTACTTAAGAAAGTTAAGAAGAGTAGTTTTACAATGTAGTGTTACTACTTTTACTAAAGTCAATCGTTTGAATACTTCTGTTTACACTGATCATGTCCACACTTTACTGTATTACAAAGTTAAAACATTATAAACAAACATCTGTACAAATCTTTCATTTTGCAGTGATTTTATAACTAAACAGTTTTTGATCATTTACATTTTATTTAAACCCAATCTGACAACCAAGATGACACAGAACATGTTTCTGGCAGCAGATTTTTGTTAATTAACAGTTACCATGACTCTTATTATCACAGCTGCCTTGCAGCTCTAAAATAACTACAGTCATGTTATATTCAGTGTCTAGCAAAAAAAGGTCCTTTGAGAGCATTTGTCCTTAAAAACCCTCCTAATGTTTCAGCAGCTAAAAATAAATGTCTTGACATAAAAAGTTTATTTTTGTTTTGCTTGTGGAGCCTAATTGCCATCTCTTACTGGACTTATATGACGATTGAATGAATAAACAGCCATCTGATGTTATCAACCGAAGAAATTCCAGTATGACTCTTCAGATTTCATGGGATTTGCAGCTCTCCCACGCACAATCGCAGACTAACCTATAATTAGGAAACGCACTGGCCTTAAAAAGATA